GTAAGTCTTGTTTGTTTAGGTTTCGATTGCACGCAGGTTTCAGGTTTTCAATTCCTAATAGAAGTGCTCATGCATCTGAATATTAATGTTCTTTCTGTTGTTGAGATCCTACTGAACTAAGGCTTTGCACAAGTAGTGTCTGATGTGTGCAGCCAAAATGAGAAGCTCATCTCATAAGAAAAAAATCAAACAGACAAAAAACTCTTTAAAAAAAAAAAACCCCAAACAAACATCTCAGAGAAATGTGTAATTTGCTTAATTAAGCATATTGCCGTAAAATGGCACATTGTAAATCACCTGTTTAAACTGTGAGAAAGTGAGCTGAGACTTGATTAGCAAGCTGGGCCAGATTTCAAAAAGATTTCCAGAGCACCTTCTCACTCTCTGCCACCCGGTTCCAAACATCTTTTGCCTTTCTTTAACACCAACACTGTTAAATAGGATTTGTGTCAAATCCATTAAAAATGTTTCTTTTCGTCACTCATTGTCAGTATTAGTCTGTATTGATACAAGCAGCTGGGGGTCTGTTAAGTGACCATATCTGTCCATGTTCCTCTATGCTTCTGGTCTGTCCTGAAAGCTGTTTTCTTTTGAAGGTTCCTTTTAAGATAATGGCCAGGAAAGATCAATAGCTCATTTTAAAAGCCTATTAGTTGAAACCACTTTGTCATCAATATAGGTCTGTTCCTCGCTTGCTTGAAGAAGTGGCTCTTTGTACTTGCTTGAAATTACAAAATAGATATTTATTATCTTTCTTATTTTGTCAAATAGCTACAGGCACAAAAAAGGGGGAAAGGAGATTGTGTCGGCTATGAACACAGAATATGTTGTTTGTTTTTCCCCCAAAACATAATCTTATAAATCCAGACATATCAGTGTTCTTATTGGAAATGACAGAAGCAGGAGGTAAAGGATTCACAGTTTTGAGTCCTTTACCCATCTGAGAAGAAAGCTCTTGTGGTGGCGGGTAAATGTAAGGAGGAAATGTTCAGTAGCAAAATGTCTGGTAAGCTTTATGAATAATGATGGCTACTGTCTGTGAGAGCAGTGTCACAGCAGCAAATTAGTTTTTTGTTTGTTTTTTAACTTGTGGCTGAAGCTGCTGAAATGGAAATTGCGAATCCCCACAATTTATTTTATTTAATTTTTTTACATCACGATTTCATTGGGACTTATTTTAAATTCTTATTTCAAATTCTTCATAAACTCTTTAAGAGATTGTGCTTCAAGCAAAACAGTAGAGAATAATGACATTAAAAGGCTTGGGTAGGTCAGAAGGTCACATTTAAAGCAATAATTCTGTTATGTTTATTTGGTTTTCAGCAATTTCTCTTTTGTTTTTATTAGCTCTGCAACTTAGCAATATTTTAGTTATCAAATTAAATAATTTATTATTTTCTCAGTTTGTCCACAAAGCACAGTGAGTTGCATTCAAAGCACTTGTTTTGAGAGCCTGACCGATGCTGGCTGGGGGTTATAGAAACCAATTTTTAAGTACTAAAAATAATTCAGCGCATTCAGTATCAGGTTATGTGTCCTATATACAGTCATGTAAAAAAGAGAGGAAAAATGATTCAGTGGCTTGCAAAACCACCTTTAGAAGCAATCATTTTGAATCATTTTGAACATGCTAATTGAGGCCTGTAGAGTCAGAGTTGTAGCTTTTGGGTTTTTGCAGTTTTTCTGAGTGTTATACAGTCTAACTGTCCACTAGATTTGAAGGGATATCCACCCCTGGGTAGATTGTGGCATTGTGTTGACCACCTAAATACTTTTTTTTTTTTTTTTAAAGAAGGCTCACATTTGCTGATCAGTTAATCAGCTTCATTTGATCAGCATTTCCTATAGAAGCAGTACTTAGTTGGCTACTGTCTGATCTGTCTAATCCTGAAGTTAGTTGTTCAGCTGTATGTATGTATGTTGATATATGCAGGACAAGCACATACTTACTGCACTCACAATTTACCAAGGTCATTTAATGAAGCTCTAGGCTTCTTACTGTTTGTGCTTTTACATGTGAAGGAATAAACATCAGTGTTCTACTAAACATTTCTACAGGTGAAAATAGGCGTTCATTAATTAGCCTGTCACATTTAGATTTACCACAGGGCTTAAACAAGGTCATGAAAGATTTTTCCTCAGTGCACCCCTGTTAACCATGAAAAGGTTATTTAACAGCACCAGTGTTTTCATAGAGATTTTACTCAGGCAGGCCTGACCAAGTATTTTTAGTGGCCTATTTTAGCCTTTCTTCTTTTTTTTAATTCTTATTTTAGAATCTGGCCCAGTGAATGAGCCCATCCACAATCTAGTCTTTCCCATATATCGATTTATTTGAGGCAGCTCACCACACTGACTGTGGTGACTGGAGTACTGACTGGAATTTTTTCCCCACTATTTAAAGGTGAGACGGGTGGAAAAACTAAAGGAGAAACTTGACCTGACCTTAAACATACATGGGGGCACGTGAGGGGATAAAGTGGTTCTCTTATGGTGTGGGGTCTATTTGATGGTTTGGGTCCTCTTGGTGCCTTAGAGGAGAGAGTCACTGCAAATTATTACAAAGGACATTGGTTGATTTGCCACACCGAGCTCACCACCCTACACAAAACAAATTTCATTTACAGACCCTCACACATTAACGTTATTTATCAATAGGAGGTTTGTTATGTTATAGAATAGTAACTTTATAATTAAGACTGGTTATGAGCAATATAAATAGCCAACACAGCAGGAGACTTTTGCTAATTTGTGCATGGAAACAAATTGAAAGCATTTTAGAAAGGTAGATCGCCCCCCCCCCCCTCATCTGCTGCTAATCAGATGCTATTAATCATGTTAATTTTTATGACCTGGCCCACCCGCTCTGCTGATTAACTGCAGTGCCGGAGGATGTTACTGCGATCAGCACATCACTTTCAGCTTGTGATGAGATGGCTGACTGCCGTCGCCAGCTGCAGCCCAAGACAAAGAGGACGCAGCTGAGTATATTGATAAGTAATGCATTTGTCAGAGTACACAGTCACAAAACCCATTGGCTATCTTCTCATGATGTAGCCACAAGGGACATCAGCCAGTGTTTCAGGGCTTCAATTGCGACCATCCAATGACAGATAACGACTATCTGGGACAAAACGTCTGGTTTCATATGCTGGTGAATTTTACAGTCCAACTATGAATGCAGGCGTATTTTAAAAGGCATTAACTGATCTTCTTTGTTTTGTTTTTTTTTACTCAAGACTGAACATTTACTTGCTTGCATACAGAGACTGCTTAAATGTTGTGTGTCAATAAATCCTGACATGCAAGTGGAAATTCTTTTTGGCTTCCTTGCTTACAGATAGTAAACACAAAATGCAGTTTTTAAAATAAGGTGTTTATAATTAAGGGGGAAAAAATACAAACCCACGTGGCCCTGTGTGAAAAACTGACTTCTTCTAAACCTAATGACTGGTTGGTCCACCCTTAGCAGCAACAACCGCAATCAAGCATTTGCGATAACTAGCAAAGAGTCTTTTACAGCGCTGTACAGCGGTCCCTCGTTTATCGCGGGAGTTACATTCCAAAAATAACCCGCAATAGGTGGAATAAGCGAAGTAACCAACTTTATTTTTTTCAATTATTATAGACGTTTTAAGGCTGTAAAACACCGGACTACACACTTTATACACGTTTCTCAGACAGGCAGGAACATTTTCACACTTTTCTCTCTTGTTTAAACTCAAAGTTCAAACCTTCGTGGAAAAATAAGTCCAGTATTATAGAATGAAACCAAGGACACTTTTGTTGTTTGTTGGGGAGAAAACTTACAAACATACAGTGCAGCACTTCAGAGTCACACTGCTAGTGACCGAAGATTTATGTAATTTGACAAGCTGAACTCATTCTGTACTGTACAGAAGACACTGCATGCGATTGATTGACAATGGTCTACAGCCACTCAAGACCCAGAACACAAAGCGCTGTAAGAAAGGGAAAAAAAGCATGTAAAATTCCACCCAAAAAAATCAGTGAAATGGCGAAAGGTGAACCGCGTTATAGCGAGGGACCACTGCACAGGAATTTTGGCCCACATTGGAAGGTTTTCAAGCATAATCTGCCTTTTTAAGGTTGTGCCACAGCACTTCAATTGGATTCAGGTCAGGACTTTAACTAGGTCGCTCCAAAGTATTCATTTAGTTTTTCTAAAGCCATTCAGCCTTTACTGGTGTGTTTTGGTCACAAACAGATGGCCGATATTCTCCTTCAAGATGATTTGGTAGACAGCCAGAATTCATGGTACCATTTCCCATTACTTGGTCCTGGGGCAGCAAAACAGGCCTTGTTCTCCTTGAACTCTCCCATGGATGCCCTTTTTCCTAATCTCTTTCTTATTGTTGATTCATGAACTTTGACCTTAACTGAGACATTTGAAAGCCTGTGGTTCTTTAATGATGTTCTGGGGTCTTTTGTGACCTCCTGGATGAGTTGTCATTGTCCTCTTTGAGTAATTTTGGTTGGCTGTTCACTCCTAGGACGTTTCACCACTGTTTCAGATTTTCTCCATTTGTGTATAACGGCTCTCACCATGGTTCACTGAAGTCCCAAAACCTTAGAAATGACTTTGTAACCCTTTCCAAACTGGTAGATGTCAGTGACTTTGTTTCTCAGGTGTTTCTTTAGATCGTGGCATGAGGTGCTGCTTCCGGAGATCTTTTAGCCATCATCACTTTGTCAGACAGGTTCTGTTTAAGTGATTTCTTGATTCAGCAGGTCTTTCAGTAATCAGGTTTGAGTGTCTTTAGTGAAACTAAACTCAGCTTTCCAAAGAATGTGGGTAATTAGAGTTAATTCATGATTTAACAAGAGGAGGGATTACTTTTTCAAACAAGACCAGATAGGTTTGGATAACTTTTCTCCCTTAATCAATGAAATCTTCATTTAAAAACTGCAATATGTATTTACTCTTGTCATCGATGTCTAATATTAAAATTTGTTTGATCATCTCAAACATGTAAGTG